CTTGTATGAATCAGCAGCAGCTCAAAGCCCAGCTCAGGCACCCACAGCAGCAGCCGGCGCTGCACCATCCCCACGCCCATTCCCTGCAGCACCCGCAGGCCCACGGCCCAATGATTGGCCCGAGTTGCAGCCTGGCTACCCAGCAAGCCGTATCCTCCTCCATGTCTGGCTCGGCCAACAGCCAAGCTCCATCCACGCTCACACACTCGGGGTAAGTATAATTGGTAGACACACCCAATCGGTTAATACCCATCCTCATCGTTTCTCTCAAAAGTGAGAACAAAAATAGGAAACGGCAGGAGGAAAGCTACTTATTACGAAAAACATTACGCCCCCGGCACCCAATGCTTATGGAGATCCGGACAGTGAGTAAGTCGCTTTCATTACTCCCACGGATTATGATTACACATTTCAACAGACACATGGGATTAGATAATCCTCTAATAGTCCCAGGACTGGAAAATCTATACCGCAAGGAATGAAAAAAAAACCAAAAAAACAAAACATTTTTCTACATTATTAACCAACAGGGTAAAAATAGCTTAGAACACATTTATTATCTGTCTTGGACACATGAATTGTCTGAGAGGTGCCCAAAAACGCCACCTTATTCACTCTCTCTGCGGGAGCCGTGCGACATTATGTTACCTCAAGATTTCAATTCTGGGTCATATTTAGGAAGTAACAAATGAAAATAGTTCGGTCAAATACATGTCACTAAGCCTGTTTTGTTAAAAAATAAGTCTCGCTGTTACGCTAAGGAAGTGGTCAGGCATAAAGGTAGCATCTAGCAATTTGGAGCATATTAATTGAGCGTTTTAACATGATTTTGGGGTTCTGTTGTGTTGCCGCTGTGCACAATGACATATTATGGCAATCTGACAACGTTTTTTAGTATTTGATTTGAAACCCCCCCAAAAACTGATCTGTCCAGGAAGTGACAGATAGTAGGCAGCCATCGCATATGATTTTCTGTACAGTAATTCGGCGAGCAGCTGCATTCAGACAGCGTGTCCACAAAAGTTTTGCTAAATCAACCACGGATCAAGTATCTGAAGGTTTCCCCTGATGTTTGCCTTCAGTTTCCATAGCAACCAGGTCCCCTGGCCATCCGTCTGAAGGCCCCGGTAGAAACTATTGCGGTTCCGTCGAGAAATGCTGCTTTTGGACCGTCTGCACTTTGCTGTAAAGCTAAATGGTCCACATGCCTCAGATTCAGTCATGACATCATCGGCGATGACCTCAGCACGGCCGTGAAGGCCCACACTGTCACGCTGGCCGACGGCCAGAGCGGTTTGGTCGACACATGGAACCATCCCCTGCTGTGATTCCTCAGCTTCTCCTTTTCCTCCTTAGCTGCCCCCCCCCCACCTTGTACACAGTATGCTTGCTCTTAATTGTTGTCATCTTTTATCACAGATAACAGTGTACTTTTTACATTTTGCTCACAGAATATTTTTTTTGAAAGAACAGGAAATTCTGTGAATCCCCCAAACCACAATCGGCCAAAAATAGGTGATATCGAAAGCCCATTGAACATTTTTTTTAGTTTACTTTAGCTCTTCAACACGCTTCAAACACACTTAAACTTTTGGAAAAAAACTTTTTAAAGGGTAAGGCCTTGTACTTGAGTAGTGTGAGTTATTTTGCCGCCTCTGACTGGAAGTACAGTACATGTCATCTATTTACCTGTCCCTATTTTATCTCAGCTCCGTCTGCCATTCCAACCTGGATATAAATGTCAATTTGCACCTCTGTCTCTAAGCTGCATTAGCGAAACATGAACCGCACCCGACCCCCAAACCCCTCTCTCATTCGCCCTCTCTCCCTCTCTCTGGTTGACAACAGACCCGTTCCTGGTCCACCCTCCTCCCTCCTCCACATACGCAACAGACACCGTCAACCGCTGCCAGCCTCGCTGCCTGGCACCCTGCCCGACCCCGCCATGCAAGGGGCATCTGCTCAGCACATGTCCGTAAGTACAGGCGACTGGCTCCGTGCGCCGTCTCTGACCTACAAGGGAATCATATTATTCTCATCCGAATGATACACAAGACGCAAGTACACTGGGCAAAGTGGCCGAAGATGCCCTTGTGGTTGAAATATTCATGGCTGACAGGGAAAAAAAAAAAAGCACTTCTCTCTTGAGGATGAAATGTCAAATGTGTCAAACAAACAGATGGATGTGACCTTGTAGGGAGGGATTGTTTGTTTTTTTTCTCGGGGAAAAAAAAAAAGACTGATTTTTGCATCATTCATTTATTCTTCAGATGGAGAAGCAGATGTCTTGTATAATGGGTATACCAGGCCCCATAAACAACCCGTCCTGTTCCTCGCCTCAGGTACTGAACAGTCAGCTATAAAGGAAATATTTTCTTCCCGCGTATGCAGATCACTCCCTTCTACTCTGCTAAGAACATCAGGCCCCATAAAAGTCGATTGCTGTAGGAGCAAAGTAAGAATGCAACCCGAATCATGACACGTTCTTTTTCAGTTCCCCTATGGTGATGTCGTAACCTGTCTGTCTTGCACAAAAAGAGAACCCCCATCGATTTGGAATCATTTGCCGTGCAAGTTCGAGGTGGTAACGAAGGTCACATGTTAAATCAGTGGCTGTAAAAAGTTTACACGCCCCTGTTGAAATGCCACGTTTGTGTTTGGTGATGCAAAAAAAAAAAATGAGAGCAAGATAATTCCACCATTAATAACCTGTAGTACTCAATTGTGATAAAAAAAATGTTGAGATGGGAAGTCAAAATAAACAGCTTAAATAATGTGGTTGCACAAGTGTTCACACCCTTCAGGATAAAAAGGATCGCATTCAATCTAATGTTAAACGGAGTCGGCGCACATTCACGACCGTTCAAAGTGCCTCTGATGAGCCCCAAAATGAAGTTCAGATGTTCTAGTAAGATTTTCCTGACTTTTCTTTTTTCTTTTTTGCTTGGTGGAAGAAGCCTGAAAAATCTTGTGTCGCCACTGACTGCTTCCTTCCACCTTGTCAAAGGCCCCAGTTCCAACTGAATACAACCGGCCCAGAAGCATCATGCTCTCGCCGCAGATGAATTACATTTCCTGAATTCGGATAAAATGTATGCAAATGCCTCGATGGTACAGTAAAAAACCTAAAGTGCTTCAGGTACACTTTTCTGTCTTTCTTTACTGATGCCCCTCAGTCAGAAATATCAACGGCATGTGTCATCCAGGCCAAGGAGATCCATGATGTAATCACAGGCCCCACTGTCAGAGTGTTTCTATGTAGTAAACAGAGCTGAAATACTCGTGCCCCGTCCTGTTCCCTCCGTGCGTCTCCGCGTGCGTGCGTGCGTGTGTGTGTGTGTGTGTTTGTGTGTCTGGTAAAGCTGGCACAGACAGCTGAGTGATCTCATCCTTGGCAGCCGTTAAATGTGCTCCCTTTTTTCCCCTGTCTATGGATGGTTGAAGTGGAAGAGGGGTGGGGAGGGGATGGGGGGGGGGCGAGTCAGCTTGCCTCTCTTAAAGAAATATTGTGTAACTTGGAGCAGATAGCAATATTGCCATGGAGGGGGGGTGATGTCATGCTGCAAACATGATCCCTCCCCCTTCCCTCCCTCTCTCGCTCTCCGGAGCTCTCTCGCACACTCATTCTCTCCTTTGTCAAGTGCAAGAGAAAGGTGAAATGAGGTTTTAATTAGCCGGTCAAATCTGCAAGTTATTCACACTTTTCAACCGCGGACCACAGGAATTCGCTGACATTTGTTTTTAACTGTTTGATTTCAAATCGGGGCCATTGTTTGACTTTCTTTGACGGAAGAATCTTACTGGTTTGTATGATGTCATGGATTAACAGGGGGGGGGGAGCTGAGGGCAAACCGTTACACATTCCTACCTTGTGTCTACTTCCGGCCAGTGGTCCTCAGCTTTTCTGTTATTCGATAACAAGAGCGTAACACATAGGTCATGTGATACACAGACCTCATTGTGACCTCTCCAAACCTTTGAAAGAAACACTTGGAAAAATATGAGAAGTAGGGCATGACCGATATGGATTTTTTTTTTTTTTTTAGGCCGACTCCACTATTTGGCAGAATAAAATTCTGATCACTGATTAATTGACCGATCCATGAAAAAAAATACATCATGAATAAAATAACCTCCTTTTTTCATCCCTTGCAACAGTAAAGATATGAATTACAGGCAGAATAGTTGATTGTTTTACATGACTTTGTCCTTTAGTATTTGTTTTTTATTTATTTATTTATTTTTATTTGGGGCTCATCAGAGGTTATTTACATTCCAAGTGTTATGCTTCCATTTAGAGGTGCAAGCAGATGATGGGGCATCCCTACCAACAGCAGCACCCGGTAATGGCTCCCGTAAACAATCCTACGAGCGCAATGATGGAGATCATGTCACAGCGCCACCAGGCTCCTCCACTACAACACCCCCATCACTCCCATCACCATCCTCATCATCCTCAGCTTACCGCTCCACCCCTCAGCTACCATCAACGATGTCAGCCAACCCATCCGCAGCACCTCGGAAACCCCCACAGCCACTCTCACCCATCAAGAAACGCACCAGCTCACCAATCACCCCCCACCCACCTCCCCCAAGGGTCACCCCCTGCACCTCCTCTGTCTGTACCTGCACAGGTGTGATGCCGCTTCATCACCGGTCGGCTTCTTCAACTCATCTTTCAGCATTGAGATATCACCGTGCTTCCACAGGTATCGCCGGTTCCGCAGCAAATGCACCCCTGTCAATCGCCGCACTCCCAGCATGCACTGCAGGGAGGCGGAAGCTGCAGCCGGCGGAGGAGGACGACCGAGCAGGACCCCGACGAGCGCAGGCAAAAGTTCCTGGAACGCAATCGAGCAGCCGCTACCCGCTGCAGACAGAAGCGGAAATTGTGGGTGTCGTCTCTGGAGAAGAAAGCCGAGGAGCTGACTCACACCAACCTTCAGCTGCAGGTGGAACGCAGCGCTTTCTGACAAGCACACGTGTTTTGTGGACAGGTTTCGAGATGTATTTTACTTTTTCCCCCAGAATGAGGTGACGTCACTGAGGTCGGAGGTCGGTCAGCTGAAGCAGATTCTCCTCACCCACAAGGACTGCCCTGTCACAGCCCGACAGAGAGAAACACACGGGTACAACAGTAAGTAACACTCCCATTACCCTGCACCACAGCCCAAACGTGGCCTTATCGCACTAGAAAACTTTTGACGGTGATGTCACACATTTCCGGTGGTAGGAGTGGCGAGGACAACATTCAAAGTCATGACAGCCAGCATACGCCTGCCACCCTTTAAAGTGCCGCAAATTCACCCCAAATAAACTTCAGCTGCTCTAGTAGACTGTGCTGCGTGGCACAAAAAAAACGTTATAGCGACCTCTGATATACAATAGTGTCTCGAAATGAATTTCCATTCATCTGCAATGCAAAGGATTTTGTTGAATCGTTGCGCATGCACCACACAGGAGCACGGCCCAGAGTCCGCAGGACAACCAGCGAAGGATCAAGTGACTTTGATTGACAGCTGTCTCTGTGTCCAGCTGCAGGGGTGAGTCCGGGGGGAAGTCCCACCCCTGTAGAGTCTGCGTGTCACCGGCAGGCCATCCAACACAACAGCATCACCACGTCCTCGGTGAGAGGCATCACACAGCACGAGCCCAAGCCTGGACGCTAGAGATCGGACTGGATTATTTTGTTTTTTTTTCAGTGTTCACATCATTCGCTCTGTCCATTTCAAATGGTGCATAAAATGCCTTCTGTAAAAGCTTTTTCGAATGGTTGCAGCATTGAGTTTTTTTGACCGCTAACTTAGGGACGCTCATTTCATTTGGCCTTGCTCGTGTATCTTGCACTAATTTTGAAAGCTCCTGTTTTTAACAGAGCATGAATATTATGCAAATGTGCACCTTTTGCCTTCTCCTCAAAGCAGAGGCAGCTTCTAAAAAGAAATGATGACTATATATTTTTCTACAATTCAGAATAAGAACACCTTTTTAGATACAAGTGTCGTTGCGTCATAATTTCGAATCAATACGTTGTGTTGGAAGCCATTTCATGATGCAATATTTCCTTCCAGGCACTTTTGAAATAACTTTCTCTCTAAAGCTGAATCCCTGTTAGCATAATTTAATTTGCACTTGAGTTTGTCTTTTTGTACTGTAAAACGGTGACTGTACATCTATAAAATTAATAATTAAAAAAACAATCTTTTTCTGCTTTGTTCCGTTCTTGTTGAGCATTTTTATGGCGTTGGATACAGTACTTAAGAGTGGTCGAGAGCGCCCTCTTGTGACCTATTTTTTTCTTGCTCTTCTGCAACAGGGTTTGTGAAGTGGCCTATGAAATGTTGCTGCAAGTCTGCTCATAGTCTTTATTTTAATGAAATCTCTTGAAATTGTCAAACTATTCTATATGTAATGTTATTTTTTTATAATGAACCCATCCTAATTCACATGTTGGACCAAATAATACAAAAAAAATAATAATTTTGAATTGTGCTTAATAATCAAGTCAGGTTTCATTTCAGCACAGAAATAAAATTCCATTCCCACTGGACAAAAATGATATGAAGATCCCTTTAATGACAAACAAACCAAAAAAAAAAAGTAAAAAACATTGTAGAAAACAGAAAACTGTACACATTGACATTAGGATGTCTGTAAAAGTGAAAACTAGCACCACAGTTGAAATCAGTGATCCATCATTCATTCTCACACACTCGCATTAAAAACATTTCAAAACAAAAGCGCATTTGAAAGATCTTGCAGGTGGGAGGAAATGAAAGGGCACAAGTCGAGAAGAGGATGTGTGTGGTTGAGGACTTTGTCTTCCTCTGGTCTCTCAAAGGGCCTTGCTGACATAGCTGTACATGAGGTCATCAGGTGTGCCGCGGGAATTTATCCAATTTCCAATCTTTGTTTATCTATGTCTGCGACGTATAGTCACAGTCAGATTGATTAGATAATGCTCGACAAGATGACAGAAGTTAGAATTAGCTTGAAAGTCATGAAAATAAAACAAGCCCCTCCCTCCGCTCTCAAACAATGTGGACGTGTCCATTGAATGTGTGAAACCATGCCCTACTTTACAATCCTAGTCGGAGAATCTGGGCAGGTCAATCTCTCTGCGAGAGGATCCGGTATCATGAACGCGGTCACAAGGGAATTCGATGAGGTCTCCCAATTCTGGTGGGACCAGTCGGGCTGGGCGACTGCTGTGGTAGCTGGTAAAGTCGGTGGACGCGGTGTTTGCTACGTTAGCCCGAAAAGGTCTTCTGGTGGAGTACATGTGGCGCACGTGAACCGCCGACTTCCTCCTCTGCAACCTCTTCTTGAGGCTCCGTCCCAGCCAGACCAATCCCAGGATGAGGAGCAGCACAGCATTCCCGGCCAACGTCAGCACCGTCACCAGCTGGAGGTTGGCGGTCGAGACCGAATCCTCCGAAAGAGTGACCAGACCTGAGCAGTGATCGCGGGGCGCCACTTGACACACCGAACCGGAAACCACGCCTTCCACACACACCATGTAGGTGACATCCGGGCGGAGCTCCCGCAGGGTCACTGACCGGCTTGAGCCAGGGCTGTAAACGTAACGTGGAAACCGGTCGGATTTCCCAAACCGGTCAAACATAATCCGGTAGTGCACCTCATCCAGGATTGGACTGAGTCCTGGTGTCGCCCAATAGACCGTGACTGTAGTGCTCGTGACCTGGTCCACGGACACATTCGTGATGAAATGACGGTTGAACGCGCACGGATCGGTGATGATCGATGGGGCCCCCTGGTGGTCCATCCTAAGAAGATCAAACATTTCTATGGGTGGGATGAGAGTAGTGGAGGCACTCTCCTGGGTCCCATCATGACTTGGTGTGGTCTTGTGCTTCTCTAGTTTGGTTCTGGAAAGTTTCCCACCAACTTTGGCACTTTTTCGAAATACGTCTGTTGGTGACTTGGATCGGTGGGAGTCCTTTTTAAATGAATGAACCAACAGTGGCACCTCTGTCCCCCCTTGGTCTCCTTGTATCCCCGCCTCTTCTTTTCCTTGTCTTGTCTTATCCCGCTTTTGTTGCTTCGGATCATCTCTTCCGCTTTTTTCTTGCCAAACGTCACCCTTCATCTTGGCTCCCTGGTTCCTTTCGTGCTCGCTGTGGCTCCCGCACAAATGGCTCCAGTTCCCAACAGTCTGTAACTGGGAACTGTTCACATGGTCCAAGGGGGTGCCTCTCAGGGTTGCTGGGTGATGACACCGTACAAACACATCAAAGAGTTTGCCCTGAGAATGTGTTGCCGACATCCATCTTTTCAGCTTCTCGAGGCGACAGTCGCAGCTCCAGTTGTTGCCATGGAGATCCAAGTCGCGAAGAAAGTTATTTAGATTGAAAATGTCACCGGGTAGGCTTGTTAGGACGTTATTCCTTAGCTTCAGGACCCTGAGATGTTTTAGGTGAATAAATGCTAAAGAGTCAACACGAGAGATCCGGTTGCGGCTAAAGTCCAAATGCTCCACAAGCTCCAGAGGATCCAGAAGCCCAGCCGGGATGTCCTCCAGCTCATTCCCATCTATCAGGAACTCTTTGAGGCTTGATAAACCGAGCAGAGTACCCCTGTGCAGATGAGCAATCCTGTTGTTACAGAGAGATAATGTGGACAGTTTTTTTAGATTGTGGAAAACTTTATTGCCGACGTGTTGGATCTCATTTTCAGACAGCAGTAAAGTTGTCAAGGCCGTGAGATGCGCAAAGGTGGGAGCACCACGCAGGGCGGGCAGCTTATTGCGGGACAGGTTGAGAAAGCGCAGGTTGGCAAGTTTAGAAAAGGCATTTCTGTGAATGTGTTGCAGCTGATTAGACTCCAGATGAAGATAGCGCAGATTGTCCAAGTCTTTAAAAAGTGAATCCTGCAAACTTTGAATTTTGTTGCCATCCAAGCGCAACTTAACAAGACGGTCCAAAGTGTCAAAAAGCCCCGGCGTTATTTCAATGATGTCATTATTATTCCCATAAAGGACTGTCAGCTTCTTCAAGGGCTGCAAAGTCCCAGTGTGAATCTCAGATAAATGATTATGTCCCAAGTAGAGCTCCTCCAAATGATACAGTTTCTCAAATGCTCTAGGATGGATGCTTTGGATTTGATTGAACTGTAAATCCAAGCGTACTAAACCGGTGAAGCTTCCCAGGTCGACTGCAGAGATGTTTCCGATGAAGTTGCCCCCAAGACTCAAGACCAGCACCTCTTCCCGGTCGCCGCTTTGAGGTGGCACAAAGCGCAAACCTCTGTTGGCGCACGTGAGACGCTGTGGTTGCTGGCAGTCACAGCGGTCGGGACAAACTCCCGGGGAGGCGAAACCACGGAGGCACAGCAGGACCACGCAGATCCCTGCCAGGAAATAGTCGGTCTCCATCCCCACGGCGCTGGTGACACCGGTGCGGCATTCGCGTCCGCTTTATCAGGCGCAATCGCATCCGCACTCATGCGCCGGGCAAAGGCTCCATCACCCCGCAGCTTAAATGTATTTGAGCCGTCTGCGGAAACGCTCACGTCCCCAGTAAACCTCCATCCCCTCAACTGGTCATCTGCTGTGAATTACCCACGCACACTCAGATGCACCCAGACTCGCGCACTGGTGTAATTTAGTCCCTCCTCTGCAACCGTGACAAGCGAGCTCGTGAAGGTTGTAGGGTGGCGCGTGCACGCGAGGGGGTGGGGGTGGGGGGGCTTTGACCGATTTTCCTGCGCGTGCACTGTGCGCAGCCTGCCGCGACAACGATCCGCTTAAATGGACGTAGCAAACGTTAACACTCCAAAAAGTGCGTGGAGCGTCAACTAAGCAGGTTTTTCAACGCATATTGTATGATTAAGTTCGTATTTTCATTTTCATTTCGTGTGTTTGTATTTTTACCTCGAGGGACCGAAATGGACTCCGACTGGAGCCCTTATTGCTGGCATTGTAGCGTCTTCTCATTAGGACACTTTTCAATGAAGGGGGCAGGAGGTGCACACATGGTTCACATTTGCAGGCAATGGGATTCAGGTCGCAGACATCGGAGGGAAACGTGCCAAATCTGATCTGTCAAATCGAGAGAAAAGGATTAATGTGCGGATATTGAGCCCAGTGAGATGGATTTTTTTTGTTTTGGCCAAGACATCTGTACATTTATGACCAATGAGGTAAAATGCCATGAGCCACTGGCACACATAAGTACTGTCATTTTTTTCTTCCAAAATATACTTGCAGATTAAATGCCAAGGACAAACACAGGCAAGCACACAAAAACACACACACACACACACACACACACACACACACACACACACACACACACACACACACACACACACACACACACAAAATCTTTTTCGGTCAGAGCTGAGGGTCAATTGCTCAAATGACTTCCAGAGCCAGCTCGGATTGGATGACTTTTCTTCAACAAAAGCTCCAAATCCCCCCTTGATGGGCCTTATTCTCATGCTCTCATCCGTTGGAAGACTTCAGACTGAGATGGGAGCTCACTCTGAGTCAGGGTCTGTATATGACAGACAGCAAAAGGCAACCCTTTGGGAAGCCCCTACTTTCTAGGAGTCATTTCCTGTCTGGCAATATTTCTCATGGATTCCCATAATCTCCCTCACCCTACACATTTTGCGACTGCGGAACACACACAGGGAGTGAGAAGACATGAGCCACCATGACTGGTTGCCTGGTTTGTGTTACAGCCCAAAGATGATGGCTTTGTGCGTTAGCATTGATGTAATTCATTCGAGGAAGCATGGGGGAAGGAGGGGAGGGGGGAATGGGG